ACATTCTGCTTACGTAAAAGTAGTTAGTCTTTTCATATCTCAGTGCATCTATTGATATTAAGATCCCATTCTCCCATATTTTCCACTCTCTATTACCATTTTAATAAAATTACATTACACCTAAAATTAAAATTGCAGCTATTACATCCATCTTCTTATAACTAGTTTCTATCATAATATTATTCATCACTTAAGGCTTATAAACCCCCATAAGCAAGATATCGTATAAAAGTCTTAAATTTTGGATAGCTTACAACATTCAACTACTATCCAGTTTAATACATTAAAAAAACCCTCCATTAACAAATGCTGAAAATCCTTCTTTGCAATTCATAAATTGCTAATCAGAAAATTAATTAGCATTATCGCATTATTTAACAAACGATATAATTCCATCCCTATTTAGATAATTTATTAAACTTAAATTTAATAATTATTGAACTATCCTCAATCCTCCGCAAATTAAATTCAAATTCCAAAACGGTATCTATACAATTATGAGAGCATATGTATTAGTTTCGAAGTTTGGGGTATCTTAATTAATGTAAAATTTATGATGAGAAAGACCTGTTGATAGAATGGAGAATGATAATGGGAAATAGTAAAATTTATGATTTGAGCTTGGATTGGATTTCAGGTTTAGTTAAAAATGATAAAGTTTATTATGATGGATTAACGCTGGTGGATTATTTTTTCTTTAATTAGATGCACCTTAGAAAAGAGATAAAATTATAGTATTTGGGGGTAATTAGGATGTTATTGAATTTCTTAGATGAAGAATTAAGATCTGCTATCTTTAGAATTAATTAGTAGAGATATGTGTGCGGTTAAAATCAATGTGTAAGATCATTTAATTTTAAGAAAATTGTAATTATATTAAAGATAGAAAAAACAGTAATTAAAGAAGAATCTATTAGTAAAAATTTTTCAAGGAAGAGATATATCCTCTGATAAAGAGAGAATAAATGAAAAACCAAAATTTATCCCTATAGCAAGATAACAACAAACTCCTTCGAATAATATTAATGGTCCATAAACAACTATATTGGCTTCCTGGAATTTTTCTACCCTTATTTTTGCATTCCCCTCCATAAAGCTTAAGATTCTCAGAAATATTCTTTCTAAGACTGCTTTGTTGTAATAATTTTCAAGCCAATAAAAAGTCTTTTGATATTAAGAATTAGCTTTAAACTCAATGCAAAACCGATTAAAGTACCGATCTTTTTGTCTTCTGTTTTTAAGGTTTTACTACGCACTTCAAAACCTTCTTCTATGTTTCAAGATCTGTGATAAATAATACTATCAAAAGCTTATTGATTTTAGAGTTCAAAAATTTTTGATGCATTTTATATTTACTAACAAGTGAAACTTTTTATTCAAATTTTTCTAGATGTTACACAATTTATGAATAATTGCTGATTGATAAATTAAAGATTATTTTACAAATTAAAGTTGTATCAAAGTTGATGATGATCAAAAGAAACAAAAATAAAATATTCTTGAATATTTTTAATATTATTTTTTATTTAAGATCAATAATTTCAACGCTTTAATACATATTAATTAATTGAAGATAAGATTAATTAACTAATTCTTATAAAATAACATAAAGTATAATTGGGAACTCTATTAGCAAAGTGAATCAATTGAACTCAAGAGATTAAACTTTTAAGATAAAGTAAACCTAAACGAATAATTATCAACAAACAATTTAATTTTTTAAACATATTAAATTAAGAATTTAATTAATAGGTCTAAAATACTTAAAGAAAATATAAAGCATTTAGTTAAGAATTTTGAATCAATCGTATTAAAAATATAAGAACAAAGAATAACTAGAATAGAAAAATTACATAACTCTTTATGTTTAAAAATAGTTTTTATTCAATAGGACACTTGAATTAAAAGTTATTGAGTACCATCTATTTTTACAGAAATATATAATATGAAACAACAAATCAAGACACATTTTGAAAATACATAGCAATAATCTTTTAGGATTTATTGAAGAAGCTAGAGAGGTGACGCTAAAAGATATAAATTGTCTTAATCAATTTAAAGGAACCAAAATAAGTGCAATGCAAATATCTTAATAAGTTCTTCAAAGATTAAATGTTGATTGGAATGCATTTGATGATCCAAGAATTCAAGTGTTAACATTTGAGTCATCTAATCTGTTAGAACTAAGCCCTGATACAGGAGAAAGAAAAAATTATTTTTAAATTCTTCAGTATTTAAAATATGCATCTAAAAGCTTAGTTTATTCTATTGGCATTATCCATAACATCAACGCACTATTATTAACAAGAATGAGTTATTTACATTTTAATTTTATGTCCAGAATAACTTAAACGATGATAATATGTCGAATATCATCTGCTTTTTTATTCACCTTTAACAATGCATAACAATTTGCTTAAATCGAAAATCAATTGTGCTTTCAGGAAATTAATTTATTCAGTATATATATTTTTCATCCCATCCATGTCTTTGTAAGCAAGCTGAGCAAAGCTTTCTTTAACAATTATGAGATACCATGCAAATGAAAGTAATAGGGAAAAGATATATTCTCTTAACAAAAATTCATGATTAAAAAAATTAATGTTTATCTCTATTATTTCTATCAAATTATAATTTATGAATTATTCTTTTTATTTTGTTATATTATAAGATTCCCAGAGTTTATATGCAGGCTGATGGATTTAAAAAGATTCATCATTTATCAATCTATGTAATAAATTTGCTAGTGCTAGTGATTCTTCTCATTAATTTAATACAATAAAAAAAAAGTCATAAAATTTTAATAAGATCTTTAATAGTTGTTAAAATAAATTATGCACTAATGCTCCAAACACTTTAATAACTCACAATTATTGTTATGCATACTATAATACTAACAAATATAAATGTCCTGTTTTTGTTATTCTAAGTGAAGGTAAATTAACTTTCGGAGGATGTTAAGAAACAACTGATTGAAATAATTATATTGATAATGAATAATGTTAAATTAATTTCAATGGTGATCCATGCTAATGGAAAGGAGCCTACTGTTCTAATAAATCTTGTGAAACTGGTACAGCTGATCATAGTGATGATTATAAATATAGAGCTTACTTAAATAATAAATGTATGGTATCATTATCTGAGTAAGGATGTATAGATGTACCAATTACTTGTGAGGTAATTGACTTAGAAATAATTTTATTATAATTACTTTTCTAATTAAATTAGTCAAAAATACATTCAAATTTTAACCATAAGTCAATGAGAATTTATTAAATTCAAAAAAATCAATTTAACATATAAATGGTCATAATGTCCCAAAAATCAAAAATAGGGTTTTCTAATTATATAATAATTTCTTAGGGTAGTATTCTTGATATTTATATAAATGATTCAACATTTTTCTTATCAGGATTGGAAATTTACTTCAAATTGAGTAGATACAAAAAGTTGGAAAAACTAGCAAAGGTTATCTTGAAGTTGAGCCTCCTTTACTGTTTTAATTTATATTATTTCCAGTGAAAAAAATGTAAAGAGTTTATTTTACTTTGAAAGCTACAGATTGAATTTCTCTTTTAAAATCAAAACTCATAATTAATTTCATTATTATTTTATATTATATTCAACTCTTTCTCTTATAATCTTCTACAAAAGTTGGAATGCAGGAAAAAATACAATTTAGTTATTCATTCTAAGGGGAGAACAGCAAAGAATTGATGATTCAATCTATCTAGTTCTGACGATTCTTACACTATTCTTTTATACAAATAGTTTTTTAATTAATTTCAGATTTTCTTTATTGGGTTTTATCTAACGAGAGTATGGTTGTAAAAATTAGTAATGCACTGCACTTAATAACTTATTTACTCTTTTACTAAATGATAAGAATAGCTCTTTAATCATTAAAACCCCTCAAAGCCTTGCATTCCAATTGCACCTAAGACATATAATTTTCCTTTTCTTTTCATTATCGTTTTCTATTTGATTTCTCGCATTATTTACCAGCATCTTTATTTTTTATTTTAATGACTAAAAATAGTTTCACCTAAAAATACGAAATTCATTCCATTAATACTATGACTCAGGTCTTGAAGCACGTAAATCTTACTCTATAGCCAATTTATAAGAAGCTCGACAATATTTTTTCATTATCAATATGAACTTCCTTTAGCTTAGAGCAATATTTGATAACCTTTTCATTATAGGTGGATCAAATTCCTTGAACTTAATTGTTCAGATGAAGATTGATCTAAAGAACTAATGTTTTGAAATTTAGAAACGAAATAAAATAATAAGATAGAGGAGGAGTCTATTTGGAAATGTATATGTTGAATCCTAATTGTTTAATTTCCAAGAATCTACACATAACATCTCGTTAAATGATATGAATTAAAATCATAAAAATTAAACTCTCTATGTTAGGTTCATATTATAAAAATAATTTTCCACCTTTTAAAGCTCAACTAAATAAAAATGACTTCAACTTCTTCTGGTATAAGTTTGATTTCATGATTCAGGTTCTGATGATTCTCCAATATTAATAGGTTTTCACTTCATTTGAACTAGTTTATATTCTTACAAATTATTCCTTCCCTATTTTTTATATAAAAATTTGTTTAATTTTATTTGATATTAATGAGTTAAATTTCATCCTTCATGGCCACACTTTAAAAAAATAAAATACATTCTCTTCTGAATATCTTTTAATGCAAGGATGGAATTTGTCTTTTAATGTTATCTAATATTAGCACATTCAAGTCTCATTATGATTATCAATATTTTCCTAACGTTTTAGCTCAAATATTAATTTGGACTTTAATTTATTATAAAATAAATCTGAATTATCTTTTAGTTTTGGTAATACATATTATTCTGACTTAAATTTTTGTTAAATTTAATACCTGTAATTTT